AAATGTACTAAATTTAGTATAAAAACAAATAGAACGAAGTTGAACTTTACTTCGTCAACTAGCACAAAATTGTGCAAAACGTCAAAAATACATCGAATTGAAAAAAAGTAAATAAAAGATATAAAGTATTTATTTGTTTTTTAAATTATTACTGTTGTAGGAAAAATTATTGGCTGCTTAAAATTAACCTCCGTATATTCCTGGAAGCTGTTTGCTCAGATTGCGAAAATATCTTAAAGTAAAGTTGAAATTCTTATTAATGTCAAGTGTGTTGAGATTAATAAGATTAATGAGAATTTCAACTTTATTTTAAGGGGCCCGATGGGCTGTTTGGCAAGAGATCGAATTTTATAGCGGGTTAATATATTTTATTGCCATCATTTTGCAGACGTTTTCTTTTTTCACCTTAATGGTGGCATAATTCCACTTTTTGTAAAAAGTCTTTTTTATGTTTTGTTACTCCACATGTCTAACAAAGAACTCCTAAACTATTGCCCAAAAATCTTAAATCTTGCCCTCTTGAGGACGATTTTTTAAGAAAATTTTTTAAGAAAATCTTAAATAAAATTTTTCTTTAAGAAAAATTTTACATTATTATCTTTGCACTACTGTAGAACCATTTTAGAATAGTGAGAAGCAACAAGATCTGGCCAAAAGAGATATCGGTATTTGTGCTTTTTCATAAAGGTTCTAGGAAAAAACCCGGGAAAAATCCCCCCGGAAAAAATACCCCTAAGAAAAAAATTTCCCTGGAAAATTCCCCCCTCCCTAAATTTTTTTTTTAATAAAAAATTATCAATATGTAGTTATGTTTATTTCTTTCTTTATTTTAAATATTTATATAAAATACATCATTCTTCATCAAAATGTCAATGCGCTATTCCTCGAAGGTAGCGAATGTGAAACCCTAACCCTAACCCTGACGAACTGCGAACTGGTAAAATGTGACCTTTTTTTGCGAACCATCGTAGTTAATTTAGCGTATATTTTAAGGACTTTTAAGCGAAAAAATTACTTAAAAAAATAAATAAAAGGAAAATTATTGAAACTAGACAAATACAATATAAATTTTTTTTTTTTTTTAATTATTTGATAGACTGTCTGCCCAAACCAAATCCTCAGTCGATGTAGCAGCACTATGTTGCTAGTCAGGCTATTTGTCAATCGATGTAGCAGCACTACGTTGCGAGTCAGGCTATAAGATAGTCGATGTAGCAACACTCCGCGCATGTTTTACAGTTAAAAAATAAAAATTTATATAAATAAAGCTTTAATATAGATTATTAAGAAATTGAGAGTTTTTTTTATTATTATTTTTATCATAAAAATAATGGTCTTTAAAATATGTTTTGTTTCGCAAAAAAGTTCGCATTTTTCAACAACCGGTTCGCAGTTCGCGGTTCACAGTTTGCATTTTACCGACAACCGCATAAGTTGACATTTTGATAAAAAATGAAGTATTTTATAAAACTATTTAAAATAATAAATATAACTATTTTGTTGATAATTTTTAACTAAAAAAAAAAAAAAATTTGGGGGGAGATATTTTCCGGGGGATTATTTCGGGGGGATTTTTTCTTGCTACCTTTCATAAATAAAAAGTCTTTTTTGGAGGCATTCTTTGATGTAGAGATCGGCAGTCAAGGCCTTTTAGTGAAAAAACAACAGGGCTGCATACCACGACTACAAGTTCCTTGCGACAAAAGGAGCTCGTCAAATAATTTAAATTGATCATCAAAAGGGGCATCTATTTAAAGTTGACCGGTGTAGTATGAGATTTTTACTCCCTTTTTTTTTTTTACTCCCCTATAAAAATTTGATATAAAATTTGTGGCGCGGAGTAAAAAATGCGTATGAAATTTTTACTCCCTTTATGAAATTTTAGTGTATAGTGTATATTTTAGAATATAGTGCTTAATTAATATATTTAATAAAAGTTAAACTTTTAATAATAACTTTTTTTAACTTAATTTATTTTCTACATTTTAGTGGGAGTAAAATTTCTTATATTATTTTAAATAAACAATGAAAATATAAATTTTACAGGTAATCTTTTTTAAACTTAAAGCTCATAGAATATGCAAGTACTTGTTTGAGCAAAAAGTGTACTTGTTTTAAAAAATAAAGGGGAATATCCAAAATTGTTTAATTTTAATATTAGGCTATCGTACTTGTTGCAAACTTGTTAGAAAAGGAGTTTTCTAAACAACAAGTTTACCTTACCAACCTGCAGAATCTGAAAATCGCAGCTTTTTATTTCTTTCTGACTTTTTTATTTAACGATTCACATCTGCAAAAAAAAAATTTATCGTAGTTTACCCTATGTATCAGATAGGGTCAAGATTTTTTTTTAATTAAACATATATTGTTATATGGTTTTTTTTCTGGATTCTTTGCTTTCGCTTTACTAATGTGGAATCAGTCAGGCGTATGAAAAAGTATTGCCACCAAATTTAAAAAGACAAACATTTTTATTCCTTCTCCTATATACCGTTGTAAATTCGCTTATTTTTACGTTTTTAAAACATTTGTTTACAGACTTAAAATAAAAATATATTTAAAAAATGTCTAATAATTATGAAAAGAAGATGATTTATAATTTTTTTTTTTTTATGTTTTACAACAGTACAACATTAAAGTGACTTGCAATTGAATTTTTAAGGAATATAGCATGTTCACTAAGCTGTGTAAGTGTTAAACTACATGTGTAAGTCAGCCATTTCAATTTCTATCCATATTTTCTATATACTTTTATATCAATACCAATGAACGAGGCACACCCAATTATTTCTGCATCAGTTGCGTTATCACTCATACCACTTTCATTTTGATACCACATTCAAGTTGTGTTATCACTCATACCACTTTCATTTAGATACGTTATTATTGATTGATTCATATATAAAGTCATTTCATCATTAATATGAGTACACATATGTTTAACAACTTTTTCTCTTATAATTTCATAACTGCATTCACTGCCTGTATACGATATTGCCCTAAAAAAGCAATTACCATTGCCTATGGTTTTATGTATTTGTTTCGGACGCGAAAGTAGATTAATATCTGCAATAAAAATATTTTTGGTAATACTAATTCCAAATTTTTCAGAAATACAAGTTCTCATTTCAATAGTTGCATATTTTCCGATCTTATCATTAGAAATTTGCATATTATTTTCATCAAATGTGATTTCTTGTTCATTATTAATTATTTTTTCATTATATAAACATAACTTTATCAAGTTATACTTTGCTTTCAAAATTTGACCCTTTTGACTTTTCAAAGTGCAGTTATTTGTGCTAGAAATAGAAGTTACAATGTATGGTCCAGTCTAAGGCTTTACAAGTTTACCACCTTTTCTATCATCGCGTTTGCTATTTCTTAGTAACACTTTTTTATTTATGCTAATTTCATTATTTGGTGCAATTCTCTTGTCGTAATCATGTTTTTTTCTTTTTTGAGATTTTTTCAATATTTTTATAAGCATCGTCAAAAATTTTATTCATTGCATGAAAGGTATCTGAAACTATTTTTTTGTTAGAGAAATCATCATTGCTAAGAGCGTTATCTTCATTAAAGTCAATTAAATTGCAATCTATATCAATAGGAAGAACTTCTTCCCTTTGGTAAAGCAATGCAATCGGTGAAAACCCAGTAGACTTGTGCTTTCTAACTCTTAAAGAAAACAAAACACTATCAATATGTATGGCCAATCCAGAGCAGCCTCATCAAGCACTTTTACTAATATACGTTTAATTGTTTGATTTTGACATATCTGTTTATACAAAAAAAAAGCCACAGCAGTTTTATCGGTAAGTGCTTCTGCTTCAACCCATTTACTGAAGTAGTCAATTAATACAACCAGATATTTGTAACCATTAACTTCTGGTAGCTGTGTTAAATCGATTTCTACCTGCTTCATATTGCCTCATATTAGGAATTGAAATATTTTGCAGCAATGGTTTCGACTGAAGTTTTCTGTTCTTTGACTTTCGGCATATGTCACATTTGGAAACATAAGTTGTAATATCTTTTATCATTCCATACCAGAAAAATTTATTTTGAATGTGATAGATTGTAAATAAACTTATTTTGGATATCTTTTGCATTTTAAATAACTAAAAATATTTGCAAATCTGGAGTGCATGTCTTATTGATATGCAATTCCGCTAATAACAACATAACAAAATAACAGAGTAGAAATAAAATAGTGAGAGTAAAAATCTCATATGCTTTTTTTTACTCCGCGGTAAAAACTTCATACGATATTTTTATTGGGGAGTAAAAAAATCACAGGAGCAAAAATCTCATACTAAACCGGATTTTTCCGTGTCCACCCGATATAGGAGTTTTTTTCATCAAATATACTGATAATCGAGAGGAGTTAAATACACTGATAATCGAGATGAATTGCAATTACTGCAATCTTTATAGAGATCTCTGTGATCTCTTGACGTTTCCTCAATTTGAGATTTTTAAAGTTATGTTTAGTTAGGTTATTTTGTACCAATTGTTGGTTTCATATGATGTTTTTAAACAAGTAATGTTTCGTTACATTTGTATATGTTGTCGTACGCAAAGGTAATTCAAGTAAGTAATTTTATATTAAATTTTCAAAAGTTTCACTTATTTGCAATAGTCATGAAGAAAGAAACTCAAAATATTTTTAGTAAAAGTATTTATTACTTTGGTAATATGATAAATATATATAATAGTAATAACAATAAAAAAAAGCCACGAACCGAGCATACATCGACTGAAATTAAAATGTGCAATTAGATCTATTGATATTTTGACTAACATATGCAAATTGATCTATTATACTTTGAATCGGATTGGTAACGGATTGGTATTTTGTATATTTTTGTTGTTCGGAACAATAAAAATGTTCAATATACAAAATAGAGTAGTTGCGTAATTAAAAAGCACAATGTCTTTTTCTGGGATTTTAAGTTCAGTAAAAAATTTGACTTAATGATAAAAAAAAGGCTAAACCCTGCATAAACTTTTCAATTACTCCCATAATAAGTTTCAGCAATTCAGATATACAAATTCCACTCTCAAGTGTTTATTGTTCTTTATTTTGATATAACCGATGCCATACAATTTTTGTAAAAACTATTTTTTCGTTTGTCTACAAAATTTAGCAGTATTGCACAAGCGTCTTTTTGAAATTGCAAAGTTCAATAAACAAATTAGGATTTAGAGGGTAATTCTTTCTTTTTACAATTAGATTCAAAGAACCGATACTTAATACCTCGAGCTGCTAACTCCTCTTTGCTGTCATGAACTAGGGCACCATGTTGAAGCTGTATATCACACATGTATTTTAAAGGCTTTCGAGCCACCTAAAAACAAAAAAATTTAAAAAGATTAAAAATATTTAAATTGATTTCACACATACAGAAATATATACAGTATCAGGCAAAACAAGTGCAACCAAATAATGCTAACTTAGTTTCTTTATATAAAAGTGTTGCATTTTTTCAATTTAGAGAAACAACTATGTAACTGTTTAGAGACAACGTTCTTCAAGTTTAATTCATCACAAAGTTCATTATTTGTACACGAAAATTAATAAATTAATCAAAAGTATTAAAAAAAAGTTGATTTCGTTCTGGACAAAACAAGTGCAACTCCACAAAACGTTGACCAAGCTGTATTTTGCTATCAACATTTCGTGGCGAATCCTTTGTTGTCGATCACAGCCTTGCATCTTCGAGGCATAGATTCGATCAGGTGATCAATGAAACTTTGTGAAATCGCTGCCCAGGCCTTTTAGATTTGTTCAAACAGTTGATCCTTATTACGAACACCTTCACGATTAATTTTGCGGTTGACGATCTCCCACAGGTTCTCGATAGGGTTGAGATCCGATAGGTGGTTGTCTTGAAACCACTTCTTCACTACTTTTGCAGTGTGTTTCGATCGTTGTCTTGCTGAAAAACCCATTTTATTGGCATATTCCATTCAGCATGAGGTAGCATAACATCATTCACGATATTTTTATACATGAAACCGTCCATTATTCCATCGATTCGATGTATTGGACCTAGACCGTTAGCAGAAAAACACCCCCAGACCATTACATTGCCTCCACCATGCTTCACAGTCTTATGGCAGTAACGTAAGTCGAGGCGTTATCCAGCCGGTCGACGGTCACGACAAATGCCATCGCTCCCAATGATGTTGAACTTCGATTCATCACTGAACAGGACAGTTCGCCATTTCTGCACATTCCAGTCAAAATGAGATGTAGCAAACAGGAGTCTTTTCTTCTGGTTCTTTAGTGAAATTGGCGGTTTCTTTGCAGGGCGTCGAGAAAACAATCCGGCTTCAACAGCACGTCGTGTGATTGTTCGGTCCGATACAGGCAGCTCTAATTGCTTTTGTATCTTGACTGATGATATCCAGGGATCCTTCTTGACGGACCTGACGATCATAGAATCCTCTCTAGAAGTGGTGGAACACGGTCTTCCACCTTTGTTACCTGCTGCTAACTTCCTAGTAGAACGATATTTGGAACATAGTCTTGATACGGTCCATTTTTTCACGCGATATTTATCACAAATACTTTTTTGTGACATTCCACTTACGTAATCGTCATTAATTATCTATATTAGTTCTAATCCAAGACTGTCGGGAGCCATTTTTGCACTTGAAGTCATAAAAATAAAAAAAATAATCACGCGTCTCAAGGCTTACCGTGTTACATTTACCTCGTGATGATACAATAATGCTCTGTGGAACACGTCTTAATTGGTTGTGGACTGTATTGATGTAATGAAACACTTGGTGTATTTCACTTCTTGTATTGATGTTCTTTGATAAAACACTTTGATAAAACTCACTTTGATAAACTGTCTTGATAATACTGACTGATTAACTTCCGTATACTGAATTATAGGTCGGTTTACATGTCTCTTATATAGTAAAATGAACCTGCGTGAACCTGTTCTGGAAGATTCTAGATGCTTCTTTTCGATGCTTCTGGATTTGTTTGGGTGCTTCTAAATGTTTCTAGATACTTCTGAATGCTTCCAGATGCTTCTTCTGGAAACTTCTGCATGCTTCTGGAAACTTCTGGATACTTCCTTTAATTATTAAAAAACTTCCGTGACGTTGACACGGACCAGACTTAAGAAAATAAAACAAACCGAAAAAGTTGCACTTGTTTTGCCCGCTGCAAAATGGCACTTGTCAACGAAATTTTGCCTGTGTGCTGTCACCTGTCAGTTGATTGCTCATGTCATGGTATGCTATGACTCCAGACTCCTGAACTGTTTGCTGTGGTAGTATAGGTCGTTTCGATTTTAAGACATGTAAAATTAGGAACACTTTTTAGCATTGTTCGATGTTGGTTGCAAATGTTTTGTCCAATACTGTATATAATTGTATGAACTAAAAAAACATGTAGACGGGAGAATATTCCTATACGCGAGGAAAAAACTAGATTAAAATTTTCTAGAGAATGAAAGAAAAAATACGTTCAAAGGTTTGTTTTCACATTGAATTCAGTAGCAAATAGTAATCAGTAAAATATCATAAAATAGAGGACTAAGTGTTGCTATAGTTATATTAAGCAGTAATTACTAGCGTAGCGTGCTAACGTTTAAGGACGGTCACTTATTTCGCTGTAAATTCAAAACAACGCATTCAAAATTCTTAAAATTTTCACTAAATTCAGCGAATAAGATTACTTATCTGAAAATAACGCTGCATAAAGTCTACTAGCTTGACTAGAACATCTAATGGGATCTTCGACCATTCTGATTTAGTTAAAGAAAATAAATTATTTTTATTTGTTATTTTTAGACTTTTTAATTGATGATCAAGGTGTTCCTAGATCATCAATTAAACTGAAATGCTTAATTTAATTAAGATCATGACTTTGTAATGGCCACTCAAGAAAGCGATTTTTTGCTAGCAAAGAAATTCTTAACAGAGACTGCATGATGCTTTGGATCATTGTCTTGTTGAAATATTCATTTTCATGGCATTTCATCATGACAACTTTAGCATGACAAAGTAATTTATCATTGATGATCTTTTCATAAACATGCTCATCTATAACTCCTTCAATACGAAAAATAGGTCCAATACAATCACGGCTGAAGCAACCTCAAACTATAGTATTTCCACCACTATGCTTAACAGTTGGAAGTTGGTAATTAGGATTGAATCTCTCACCTGCAGGACGTCAAACATACTTAATTCCATCCGATTTAAATACTATTAACGTAGATTTTTCACTTAATTTATGCTAATTTATTTGGTGCCCAATCTAAGGGTTTTGTTTATGGGTTTTTTTGCAAACCCAATCTAAGCTTTGCAGTTCTTTACAGAAACAAGTGGTTTCTTCACTGATCTTCGGCCAAACAAGAAAACCTTACGAAAACAACATTTGGTGGTCGACACAGACCATTTTATTTCATAAAACTTAAGCATTTCAGCTTAAGACCACAGCAGATTTTCTTGGATATTTTTTGACATTCTTACCAGCAATTTTTCCACTTTTTCATAAACAATTTTGGGTCGACCTGTTCGCTTCATTCCTCTAGCTTTATATCGTTGAACAAGCTAACCTACTCTTGAAAATATTAAAGTGCTTTACAATTTTACGATAAGACATTTTTGATTCGTTTGAATTTTAGATTTTTATTCATTAATTAAATTGAATTAATAAATAAAAACTCGAGTTTTGTTTGTTTTAAAATTCAGCAGCCAATGCAATGCCGACAAAGAAGAAAAATAAGATTTCAGTTCAACAGTTTTAAGAAATCAAAAAATGATAACTTTTTGCCAAGACTGACGTCACTTCAGGTGTAAGAATGTCATAAAATTAAGGTTTTTAAGAATAGTTCTGTTTTGCCATTGGGAGAATGATGAAATGTTAGACTTGGAATAGTAAAAGATTTTAAAAAAGTCTCAAAAACATAATTTATGAGCCAAAATATGAGGTTCAATAAACTTAAAATTAAATTTTAGGCAGCACTATTTAAAAGTTTTGGAGAGACCATTGCAATGCAACCACTAAAGGAGAACAAAGAGTACCTAATTACAAGCTAGGCTCAGAAGCAAGACATAAACCAAGCACAAACATACATACATATACACATACATACATACACATACATACATACATACATACATACATACATACATACATACATACATACATACATACATACAATATATGTATGTATGTATATATGCATACATACATACATACATACATACATACATACATACATACATACATACAATGTATGTATGTATGTATGTATGTATGTATGTATGTATGTATGTATGTATGTATGTATGTATGTATGTATGTATGAATGAATGAATGAATGTATGTATGTATTTATGTATGTATGCCATACATACATAAATACATAAATACATACATACATTCATGCATACATACATACATACATACATACATACATACATACATACATACATACATACATACATACATATATATATATATGCACCTGTTTTTAAGTATAAGGTTAGAAATAATTACATTGTATAACTACAACCTCAATCAAATCAGGTGTCTTTTCAAACTGTGCAATTGCAATAGCAACAGCTTCTAATGTTGAAACACTATCATTGTTTGGTTGCGTTCGAATTACAAATTGACTTTTCCATTTTCCTGACAACATTACCTAAAAAATTTTTTTTTGCAAAATACAAATACTTGCAAATGAATATTCTTTACATAAAAAGCTTAAATATATATATATATATATATATATATATATATATATATATATATATATATATATATATATATATATATATATATATATATATATATATATATATATATATATATATATATATATATATATCCTTATAAACAACATTACAATATCGTTTATAAAGGTGTTGCAAGCTCTTGTTTTTCAAAACTTCACAACTATTAACTTAAGTTCTAAGTATCAGAATATATTTCAGTATAGAAAAGTTTCGTTTACAAATATTATTATTAAACACGAAGCATCACTGTTTATAGGAAAAAGTTACCAAAATCAAAATGTTTCCAACAAATTTGTTACTTTTTTAGCATCAGCCTGCATTTTTCCTTTTAACTTTTTATTACTTTTATTTATTATTAATAGATAAAAAGTTATATAAACATAAAAAATATATCAAGAATAAATAAATGCTCTGATATGAATAGTAACTTATAGTTACTATTCATATCAGAGAGTTAATCAGAGAGTTATCAGAGTTAATTTAGTAATTCCAAATCAAATCACTCAGGATAAAAATCAACTCAGGATATTTTGAACCATGAGTTCTCATACTTTTGAAAAAAATTTACACAAAAATTTAACCCCAAATATTGACAGTTTCTGAGTTTCATTTTAATACTGAACTGGTATTTCATCTCAAAAATTAGACTCTCGTGACTTCTGGAGAACCTTTAACAGTATCTATAATAAGGGAAAATATGTTATTCCATCTCTTTTGTATGGTTCAGATTTTGTCACCTTACCTAAAGACAAAGCTGAATTGTTTGCTAAGAACTTTTTATCAATATCATCTCTTGATTCCACTAGCTGCGTTCTACCTGATATAACCGACAAAAAAGTTGATCCATTGCTTGACATTTGTATCACTCGAGTTTCTGTATCTTAAGTGATTCTGCCTAGACTCTTCTACAGTTTGTGGTTCGGACAACATATCCTGTAATTGTCTTGCAGAAGTGTTCACGGGAGCTGTCATCTATGCTTTCCTATTTTATATTTCCTATAAGCAAAGTTTATGAATTTTTAATTAAAAAATATTTAATCTTTTATCTTGAGTCTAATAACTTACTTTCTGATAATCAATATGGATTTCAATCATCTTGTTCTACAGCTGATTTGCTAACAGTAATAACCGATGGGTTTTATTGTTTATTAGATGAAGGTACAGAGGTTAAGGCTATCCCTCTTGATATTTCTAAAACTTTTGATAATGTTTGGCTGGTCTTCTCCATTAGGTTTCTTCTTACAGTGTATAAGGCAACATCTTTAAGATTATTGAAACATTCCTCTCCAAAAAGAAGAGGCATTTGATCATTGCTTGGAAAAGCTATTTGAGCATTGCTTGGAAGAGACATTTAACCATTGCTTGGAAAAGGCATTTGAAAAGAGATTAAAAAAAAAATCTTATTCCTTTGGCATTCATTTCTATATTTATATTTATAAATATATATATATATATATATATATATATATATATATATATATATATATATATATATATATCAAGGGCTATTTTACATTGTTTTCGATAGCGTCAACCATATTTGGGCGCTGCCCAAATTAAAATTTAAGGACTTATTTTTTTACAATTTTTTGCAGCAAATATTTTTTTTTGTGCAAAAAACACCGATTTTCCCATAAAGATTGCCGCCACCCAAAATTTTTTCCTACAAAAGGTCTTGTATATACATATATATATATATATATATATATATATATATATATATATATATATATATATATATATATATATATATATATATATATATATATATATATATATATATATATATATATATATATATATACTTTACAAATAAAAATACACAGCGCAAAAATATAAAAAAAAATATTTATAATGTTTTATGATGCAGAATTCGATAAATGTAATGTATGTGGGGTAACTCAGATATTGGGCCCCAATATCTCAATCCCCCTCCCCCATTTAAATCTTATATTTAAGAAAAACTTACATAATTAGATAAGAAAATTAATGATCTTATCTACTGAAAAACAGTTTTTATATCAAACAAAACACATCCTGTTTTTTTTAATCAAACAAAACACATCCTGTTTTATATAAAAACTGACAAAATCTGATACTGATGTGTACTTGTTTAATAAACTTTGACATTTATATAGTTTGTAAAAAGTTCAGTTTTAGAACCACATTAATTAATAAAAATTTTTAAGATTTTTAACAAATTGACAAATATCTATTTAAAAATAAAAATTTAAAAATCTAGCAGTGCAAAACATACTAAAGAAAGAATTTAAAAAGGTTTTAACTATTTCTACATAAAAAAAACTTTTTTTTACACAAAATATTAAGTATAAAAAAGAACAATTGTTTGTTTTAAGAAATACTATATTCTTATGGTTCATCCCAAGGTAATTTTTTCTTTCTTTCTGGGTTATTAAGGTGCTCCAAGAAGACCTATGGTGGTCTTATCACAGAGCACAGCAGAGAAGCATTTAACCAGGAAGTTCACACCTTTCAGGAAGTTCACACTTCCTTACCAAGGTCTTACTGGCGTCAAACTAAAAACCTCTTGGTTCTGAGCCAGAACTCTAAGCCCCTTTGTGCTGCTTAAATTATCTTGTTAAGATGTGTTCTATTGGCTTAATGATATCAGAGTCATGTAAAGGCTAACAAAATATTATTGAAACTTTAGGCAATGAAAAATTATATCTTTACACTAAAACATAGAATTATTAAACTTTACAATACTTTGTAAAAGACATACTACAAAATATTAGAAAATGTATCCTTTATGGCAGAAAGCTTGTGGTGATTTGAGGCACATACAAAGAAAATCCTTAGTAAGAAGCTGTAAAACTTAAATATTTTATTATTATTCTAAAACATAACACAATTAAGTTTTTGACAAATATGAGGACAAGCTTTATACAAATCAATAATTTTTGGAAATTTTTATGTAGTTACAATAAGAGTCACAAATAAAGTTTAAAAAGATTAGAAGCTTTTAGAATTATTGCATTTGGGAAAATCTCATTCAAAACCATTAAAACAAACGCTTTCAGAAAAGAAAGTAAAAAGTTGCACACATCAACGAAATGGTAAAGTTATTAGTAGAAGATGCAATTCATCTCAATGTTCCCTAAAAAAAATGTTATGAATAAAACTAGTGTAAAAGAAGGAAACTTTGATTAAATTATAAATGAGAAAAGTCTGAAAAAATTACTATTGTTCTACTTCTTACACTTGCACCACCAAGTTGGTTGCCAAGTTGGCACCACCAAGTTGGTCAATATCAGAAGTAAAAAATAACTTTGAAGTTTAAAGAATGCCAGGCAAAGATGGCTAGAAAGCTACTCAAAATTTGCTTAATTTAGACTAAAGTGGGGCATTTTGCCAGGTACAAGTAGTACAAATTCTGCTTTTGGTTGAATAACCATAATTGCCTATTGCTATTGGATGCCTTAAATATTGGTGAAATGTACTTTCAAAAACTGTGTGCTCAGTAAAAAACAAAGAATGCATGCTTGCACTGTATTATGATTATCCTGATAAAAAATTGCTCACCAAGTATTTTTATGAGACTTTTGGAGAATATGAAGATGATTTTGAGATAAACTACAAGTAGTAAACTACAGGTTGCACAACAATATTGAGTTTGACAGCAGGTATTCTGGCATTTATTGAACTATTAGTACCTTATTTTGTAAAACTAAAAGTACATTTTTTTGCCCACTCTCAATCACAGTACCTTAAGCAACTAAAATAAAATATGGATCAATCAAGCATATTAACTATTAGCGAATTTGCAGAAAAATACAGATTTGAAGTCCAAGATGAAATACAGAGTTATAACTGTAACACCAAACAATTTTACATTCTTTAGTAATATACTTTAAAGATGATGAACTAAAACATAATTCTAACTATTTTTATATCAGACAACATTACACACAATTTAACCTAAATGAACAAAATATTTCAACTAATCATACACACATTTACAAAACAAAATTCCCCAATATGTCCAAATTACATTTATTCACTGGTGGTTGAGCAGGGCAGTACATAAATTATAAAAGCTTTTACAATCTATGCCAATTGGACAGAGAATTTAGCTTTAAATCTGAACAGATTTAAGGCTAAATTCATTTTTTGTGGGATGTGGCAACTTTTTTGCCACAACCCACAAAAGATCACTATACAACAAGATAGGCAGTACAATAAAAAGTTGACAACGCAAGAAAGTTTGAAAGAACAATACCAAAACCAAATTCTCACAACTGAAGCTTTGTACAAATTTTGTATTAAAAATTTAAAGGTTGTTAACTTTATTTACATAAAAGGTTTTTACATAATTCAGAATTAAAATTGCTACATGTAAAACAACAAGAAGCTTACAATGGCAATAACTCTACCTGGTACTCATAACTTTTATCAGTTTATAGATCTTGGGGAAGTTAACAGAGTAAACAACCAAATTAATTGTTGAGCAGAGTTGGAACGAAAAGGTACTGTACTACAGACACTAACTACACAAGAACTAACAATCTTAAAAAAAAAAATTTCAACTTGATGCTGACACTTTAGGAAACTATGCAGCAGTGGTCTATGATGATAAGTGGTGGATCAACCTCGTAACTGAAATCAACCTAGAAGAAGTTGATGCTGAAAAACTCCTCAACCCAAAAAATCCATCATTATATTTCAATTGGTCTCAAAGAGAAAACTGTTTTATTCTCAGCATAATTATGTT